TATAATCTAACTATAAGCTGTAAAAAACAACAACATTTGAGAAACATTATATCAAGAGAGAGAGGTTAACTAATTAACTAAGAGCCGCAATGAACATAAAGGTCTTAATTAAATGGCAAGAAATGATTAAGCCCAATGGCCTTCTTTAGGGAGAGCAATCTATACAGGAAGTGAGGTGTAAGTAGAAGAGATTCTGCTTATAGGACAAGAAGTAATGCCCAAGGAAAACGGAAGACAGATTTGCATGGAAAAGGTCCATGGTTCAGTTTCTGAGATCTCTAGGTAAGGCTGGGTAAGATCTCCACCTGAAACCCTGAAGAACTGCTATGAGCCAGAGGGGACCAAGGTGGATAAACTCTGGCCCTCCAAATGTTGATGCAGCTGCCATCATCTCTGACCATTGGCCAAGTTGACTGAAAGTGGATGGAAGTTGGAGCCTGGAGGGCCATGGTGTTTCCCACTCCTGGTGTAGATGGCACTTAGCAAGATGGACCAATCATATGGACTTGGTAGGAGGCAGTCTCCTATGTCATACAATGAGTCTTGGAAGGCAGCAGCAGCACAATGCAGTTGTGCCCCCCCCCCTGAAAACACAGTAGCATTCTGCACTAGTTAAAGTGTCCAGCTCATCTGAAAAGGCAGCTCTCTTTAGAATGCATTGTAGTGACCCAACCTGGAAGTTACTAGATCTTTTATATTAGGTAGACCATGGTGAGCATCCCTTGGTAACAGTCCAATTGACTGACTGACTGACTGACTGATTGATTGATTGATTGATTGAATTCCTATCTCACCCTCCCAAAGGGGCCCAGGGGTGCAAGCATCAAAATGCTGAAGCAATACAAATGCATGTGCCTATGTGCCACACTAAGTCCATTATTGATTCCATCAGTCAGGCAGTCATTTATGGTACTTTCAGAGCAGCATAAAACCCCACAAAAGGAATGGATTATTAGCCAGAAACAGAAGCCTAAATAACCATCCTTAGTGGTATACAAAGTTCCGCCAAGCACTTAGAGCACCTCACCTCACCACCTCCCTGTTCTCCAGCCACAAAAGCAGAAGAAGAACCTGCTGGATCAGGGCAGTGGCCCATCTTGTCCAGCATCCTTTTTCCCCACAGTGGTCAATCAGATGCCTACAGGAAGCATATAAACAGGACATGAGCACAACAGCCACACACTTCCCACTTGCAGTTCCCAGCAACTTGTATTTATAAGCACAGCAGTGGAAGTAGAACATGGCCAACCTCTGTGAATTTGTCCATTCCTCTTTTAAAACCATCCAAGTTGGTAGCCATCACTGCCTTCTTTGGGAGTGAGTTCCACTCTGAGCTGCATGAAGAAGCTCTTTCTTTTATCCATCTCAAAACTTCCAACAATAAGCTTTATTGAATGTCCCCAAGTCCTAGAGTTATGAGAGAGGGAGAAAAACTTCTACCCACTTTCTCCACACCATGCTTAATTTTATAAACTTCGATCATATCATCTCTTACTCAACCTTTATCTAAAAAATCCCAAACTCTGCAACCTTTCCTCCTAGGAGAGATACAGCATCCCCTTAATCACTTGAGTTGCCCTTTCCAGAACCTTTTCCAGCTGAACGGTATCCATTTCGAGGTGAGGGAAGCAAAGAAGGAGTCGATAATGGCAGCCTATGAAGGTGGAGAGAGCCAATGCAAATAATACATTAGGATTATTGGGAAGGACAGCCCAGTTATGAGCCCCCAGGCCCAACAAGGAAGCTTGTTGGACAGCCAACCTGGGCTGTGCAATCCATTGAATGCAGCAGGAAACACCCCCCTTCTGTGCTGGTAAAGGCACTTCAGAGGGAAGGGGAAAGCTCTGCAGCCTGGAAATGAACCAGATCAGAGTGTTTTTCCACTCTCCCTATTTGACACATTTTTCAATCTTTGATGCTGGCCCTCTTAAAACGCACAAACCAAGCTGATCCACTCTCATCAAAGCTGCTTGGCTTTGAGCACAATTTCTTAACAACAAAAACAGGCTGTCTGAAATGCTTTTTTCTCTTTTTCTTTTTTTGGTCCTCTCTGAACTTCCCCTGTGGCCTGACATTAATCCTCAGTTGTCTGCCTCTTTGACTCCGAGGTTTTCCAAGTGCATTTGCGGAGCTACTCTTTTGCCCCTGGATGCAAGATCTGTGATTGGCTTCTCATGATAAAGTGGGAAACTCCCCTGGATCTGGGACAAGGATGCCCTGCCAGCTAGTTCGATTAAAATGAGGGCTCTGCTATCAGAGACATTCAGCAAATCTATAGCTATGTGCAGCTTGCACAGAATCAAGGCCCTGTGAGGCTGAGGGAGTTACAAGCTATTGGTACACATCCTAGCTGAAAGGATACTTTTGAAACATCCCCATGTAGCACTCATTCATTCTCAGTCCAAAAGTATTGCTATGACTAGGTGGTCTCACCCATCTCTCTTCAGGTAGAAAAACAATTTGCAATGTCACAGTGTTTTTCTTCCTGGAGACAGCAGCCTCACTGAGTAGCTGCCAATTTAATTTCCCACAATGCCCAGGGGCAACACTAGATTGGTGGCATTATGGGAAATTAAAATGGTGGCCAAACTGCTGCTGCTGTCCACTACTGCTGCTGGGTAAACTCTCCAGGGCCCACCAATGGAGGAGGATGTCTGCTGATAGAGGAGAGGAAAGTACAGATAACATTTTGCCACTGGCAACCTAAGATCTGGAACTGGCCCTGTCTAGACAGAAATATCTGGGGGTTTTGTGGGGGAGGGGTAAGCACATAGAGATGAAGAGTAAAGACAGGCAAATTGTGCCCCTTCTGAAATCTGCTGCCACAAGCAATTGCTTCCTGTTGCTTTATGATAATGCCAACCCTAGTATTTTGCAGGGGTGGGGGGGAAGGCTTAGAATAAAGCTGATAAGATTCGCCCTTGTTTTCAACTCAGCAGGAACAAATTCCTCCCGAAGAGGAAATTTGTTGAGAGTGAGAGCACTTGCGTGTTTGCAGCAAAACATGTCATTACTCCCAGCCATGTATATTTTATCGAGGTCATTCGCAATATCAGACGATTTCTCCTTCTGCTCTCCCACACTTGGCGTAATAGAATTTTATGAAACTGACATCTTGCAACTCCTTGGCTTCCGGAGAAAAAAGAAGAAAGGGGTGGGGAAAACAAATTAGGTGAGAAAAGAGCCTGTGGCCAAATGTTTGTTTAGATTTTATTAAGTGTTGGGCAGATTGCTTGGTAAGAAGCCAATTGAACAAAGATAAGCACGATCAGCTACCCAGCCTTGTGCTAATCTTCATTCTTTCTTGCCACTACACTTGTCTTTGCTTAGGAATGGCTATGGGCCCATAAAGGCATAGACACCTTACATTGAATGTAAGCATAAGCCATTGCTCCATCTAGCCAGTGATGCCTACTCTGACTGACAGCTGCTTTCCAAGGATTCCACCAGAGATTTATTTTTTTCAACAGAATTTATATACCCCCTTACTGGAGCAAATGATACTTACTAATCTGCAGCCTTGTTATCTGAGGTCCATCAGCTGCAGCAGGAGTGGCCAACGTGGTGCCCCCCAGACATTGTTGGAAACAAGAGTTCATGCTGCTGCCTTCAAAAGTAACGTCAGCATTATGACTCACAAAATGGAGCAAGGGCAGTCAGCCCATTCCTAACTGTCCATTATTTGCCATGTTAAGTCATGTCAGCCCAATATTTTGACCAAGATTGGATCAGCAGTTACTGGAGTTCAGCCCTATAACTGCATTCTTTCTGCGGTAAAGGTAAAGGGACCCCTGACCATTAGGTCCAGTCATGGCTGACTCTGGGGTTGCGATGCTCATCTCACCTTATTGGCCAAGGGAGCCGGCGTACAGCTTCCGGGTCATGTGGCCAGCATGACTAAGCCACTTCTGGCAAACCAGAGCAGCGCACGGAAACACTGTTTACCTTCCCGCCGGAGCAGTACCTATTTATCTCCTTGCACTTTGACGTGCTTTCGAACTGCTAGGTTGGCAGGAGCAGGGACCGAGCAACGGGAGCTCACACCGTCGCGGGGATTCAAACCGCCGACCTTCTGATCGGCAAGCCCTAGGCTCTGTGGTTTAACCCACAATGCCACCCACGTCCCTCCGCCACCCGCGTCCCTCTCTTTCTGTGGTATTTTTTGCAAAATACCATTTATGTAACAAGGCATTGTGGATATCAAGGTTTGCAGCTTATTTGCCCAAGGAGGGCCTGAGACAGTGGCCTAATCCTGTATTTTTATCTACAGTCAGATGCAAAGCTCCACATGAAGTTTGGCGAACTCAGCGTGTAGCATCATAATTTTTGCACCAGCTGCTTCTCCATTATCTATCCATTCCTCGTAAACAGAACAATCCAATGAGTGAGTTGCATTGCTTGTCTGAGCGGAATCAACAGGCAGCAAATTAAAAGCAAAAGGCAGGAATTAATGGAAAACCTTGATGCAAACTTGGGCTATAAACTAATTGGCATCTGCGTTCTTGTCAAGTCCGACATTTGCAGATGGTTTGGTTCTAGGCTTCAAATTAAACGCAAGAGACAGCCTTGGCATATTATATTCCTTGAATGAATATGAACAGATAGGAAAGCCTGAGGTAGTTCATCCTAGGATGGAAGGGAAGTGGTGGAAATTGGTGATAATGGCGAAGGCTTTCTTTGTGATTTTCTCCACTAAAGCTCCTTTTTATTCTGGATCTGCCATTAAGCTAACATTGTTATGCTTCTTCCCATGACAGACAGGGATACCTCTCGTTTGCATTGTGTCAGTAGCTTCTTCCTTTGCTCCTCTGGTGCACCGCTAAGTGGCTCAGCAAAAAAAGGCAAAATGCATGGATTGGCTTGTTAAAATTCAAGAGGATATGGGCCAGTGAACAGGCATCAGGTTGGCATCAAAGGATAAAGTTAAGACATCTTTCCATTACTGATGTGTGGTGGGCCCAGCTACTTAAACTCCACCTGCTTTGGTATGTTTGTGTGTGTGTGTGTGTGTGTGTGTGTGTGTGTGTGTGTATGTGTATCAGCATCTGGCGCACGCACGCGCACACACACACACACACCTCTCTCTCTCTCTCTCTCTCTCTGTGTGTGTGTGTGTGTGTGTGTGTGTGTGTGTGTGTATGCCAGATGCTGATGATAAAACTGAGGCTGCAATGCTAGTAAAATGAATGTCAAACCCATGGAAGTCAACAGGGCTTACTTCTGAGTAGACATGTATAGGATTTGCACAATGGGCCACCCTGGGGCTGCCCTGTTTCCCCCTGAAGGCAGAGCCCGGGGTGTATGGATCCATTGACCTCAATTTCTCTCAGTTTCTCATTTTTCCAGTCTTAAATTCACTTCATCACACCACCACATCAGTTTGAAATTATTATTTTATTACCAAAAAAGGTCCCCCACAAAGATTCACTAGCATTTTAGTGCGCTTTTCTCATAATATATGTATTTTGATTCCAGTTTTTCCTAATATGCACATTTCTGTGCACATTTTATACAAAATATGCATTTTTGTACATCATTTTCACTAATGCATGTGTTTTTATATATGGGCATGTTTGGGTTGGAGAACTGTACCACAAAATTCAGAGAAGCACACATTTTGAACAGCATATCTGCACCATCACCAGATTACATTTTCAACGATCCATCTCTTCCAGCAGCTCTGACTGCAATGCCTGTATAAAACGGATACAGTTTTGTAGTATCACTGTAAGCTGCCATTGCCTCATGGCTGAGAATCGCTTTTGCCCTGAAATCACCAAATGTCCTTGGGCAAGGCACCTGAAGTATTGTAAAAATGCAGTGTGTTTTATATAAACTCAGTACAAGTTCTTCTGCACTGCCTTTTAATGCGTTCTCTCTAGCAACCAGCTACACGTGGATTTTTCTTAGCTAAAGGAACTTTCACATATACACACATCACCACCAAGCAACTAGTCTGTAAAGATACAGGACCACTGAAAGATTAAATCCAGTCAAAGACAACTATGGGATGCTGTGCTCATCTTGCTTCAGGCTGAGGGAGCCGGCGTTTGTCCGTAGACAGTATGATCCATAGTGCCCACCCCATAATCCCTTACAATGCTGCGGTGGATGCAAGTATACAAATCACAAATAACAAGCTGCCCCTAAATATTGTTACATGCCACCTCAATGCCTGAGTGGTGAGAGACTCAGGAGTGGCTTCACCCACCAGGAGATCTAGCACAGAGTAAACATGCCTCTCTCTCCAACTCTGGCTATTGTTCTTCTTTCTACCTGCCAGCCAGGTGAGCAGGGATGGGGAAAGGCCCACCCAGTTGTTTCTCTTTTTTAAAAAAATAATATTTATTACTTTTATAGATTACAAAAAGAGAGAAAAAAGCAAAAGAGAAAAAACAGAAGAAAAAACAAAGAAGAAAACCAAAGAGAAAAAACACACACAATACAATACAATATATAAACAATACAAAACACAATCTAAACTCAAAACTAAACACATTAAACTAAACTAAACAAACCCCACTCCCAAAACAAAAACAATTTAAAAACATACATCATCTCTTTTCCATACTCTATCTTTCGTTCCCTTGTTTCCTTGACCTTCTCACACCTCCCTTTTTGTGTTCCACTTCTATTAAATGTTTCAGCAAATCCTTTCCATCTTTCTCCGTTTTCTGTGATATTGTAAATAACGTATTATTTTAACCTTATTTTCCATTAAAACTAAAATACTTATATGTGCTTAACTCCTTATAACATTTCTGTTAAGCCCATAAAAAATAAAAAATAAAAAATCATTCCACCATTTTTCTATCACTCATTAGTTTTACCATAAGTCTATATATAAACTTTAAATTTTCCAATCTTCTTCCACCATCTCCTCTCCCAGGTTTCAGATTCTGCCAGTCCTTTCTGTCAATTCCATAAAGTCCATCAACCTGGTGATCTTATGTCCGAGGCTCTTAACTCTTTTCCAAGTCCCTTCTGCAGGTCTTCTTCATTTTCTTTAATGCTAAAGAGCCAATCTCGGGGAAACTCCAACCTGTCAATCCTTTTCTTCCTTCTGAACAGATCAGCTAAATTTCCATAGTTAAAGCTACAGTCCATAAAGTATTTCTGGGTATATTTCAAAATTCCTCCAATTCCAAAGGCCCCCAAAAGTTCAATCTCCTCCAGGCCCGAGTCCATGTCCCAAAAGTCAGTTAATCCCTGCATAGAGGGCTCTTTCCAACTTTCCTTCTTTAATCCAAACCGGGATCCATTCCTCGGAGTCTGGCTTTTCCTAGATTCAATCATAGAAGGCCTCAACTTATAGTCTCCAATTTGCTTCTGTAAATCCGCAGATCTCACTTGTATTATTTTATGTTCAACAACAGCTGCATTCTCCTTCTCCTCCTTCTCCTCCACCATTTGTCCTGCCAAAATGGGTTCCTGTACCAAGTCCTGAATTATTTCTGTGTTAGTGTTCGCTTTTGACTCAAGTTGGTCACTTTCTGTTCCAAATTATCAACTTTGAGAGTCATATCATCCATCTTCTTGTGAAGCTGTCCCAGCGAACAGCTTATCTTACATAAAACAGTCACAATGGCCTCTCCTGTCAACATTTTTAAATAGTCCAAGGTCGCTCTCTGGTTTTCAAACTCCTTATCTGCAGCTGGGAATCCCCCAGTTACAGTCCTGTTACAGTTTCAAAAGCTCCCTCTAGAGGGAAACAGTCTCCACTTGTATCAGTTCTTTCAAGCACAACTTCAAACATTAAAGATAAAATTTCAGTTACTTTTCCTCTTTTTTTTAAAACGCAGAAAGGGACAATGGAAACAGTATCTTACTCTTGTTTAGCTAGCTGTCAAATCCGTTCTGTCAAAAGCACTCTCTCCAAACGTCATCTGGCAGCCCGTTCCCAGGTTCAGAGCAGTGGTAATTTGATTTTTTCACTCTCTCCTGCAGGCTCACTAGATCCAAAATTTCCCCCTCTTCTCCTGCTTCCAAGGGGGGTTTTGTATTTTTAAACCGGTGGAAATTTGATCCTTTGCCAAAAGCTTTCAAAGGCTTTAACTTGTAACGTCTTTGCTTCAGTCTATTTACAAAAATGGGAGGTGGACTTCCTGTTTATAACCTTCTCGTTTCAGTGCCAAATTGAAGTATTTAAGAATCTAATTTTCCATTTTACTCACGAGTAGTTGTTTAAAATCCAATTGTCCACAGGAAAAAGTCAGCGCTCTCCGGCAACAGCAATGCGGCTTCACTCCGTGAAAGAAGCAGTCAATTCAAAGCACCGCGCCACTCACCCCACGTTGCTCCGGATCCCCAAAACAGGGTTTCCCCGCGAGTAGGGGAGGCGCAAAGGTGCCAGCCGAATCCCACGTCCACAGGTTTCTCCCGCCTGTGGTTTTTAATGGGTCTCCGCCTCGCCGTGGCGGTTCAGACCCTGTTTTTCACGGAGCGGGTTCCTCCCGATCGGAGGAAATCCGCCAATGCCAGAGGCGCCAACCCGGAAGTCATCCCACCCAGTTGTTTCTCTGCCAGCCTCTTTGGACATGTAAATTGAGGTACTTAGCTAGCCAGTCAAAGTCATTACCTTAACAGAGGAACTAGTTTGACTGGTTTTCATCTTATAGATTCTATCCCTGCCCCTGGACCACAAGTTTGCAAAAGGTGTGGCAGCCCCATTTATCTGAGCAGAGGCTTCCCACTCCTTGCTCCTTTGCAAAGGATCCTAGTCTTCTCTATGGCATGCTTGCTTTCTCCATGCCGATTTCCCACCCCTGCAGTGCGATGTAGCACAATCCAGCAAAGAGCCACGCACAGTGATTCTGCTGATCTCATCGCTCTTCCTTGGCCCAGTATCTCCTGGCAGGGTAGTTTCGTGTGTGTGCCTTTAAGGTGCCCAAGACTTTTGCGCCAGCAGCTATGATGAAGAAATAACAGTTTATTTTCCTGAATAGCACTCTGGGACCATAAAGCTCATGTACTATAAATGGGCAAAGCACATATCAAAACAGCCGAGGGAGTCATTACCTTTCTCCCCCCCGCCCCCCACCAAAAAACCTCTCCTTTTCAATCAGTATGTGATGGTTAGTCGTATGAAAAAAGCAGATTGCAGCAATGCGTACAACTGAATGAAAAATACCCCTATGCACAGGAGAGAGCCCCTTAGTACATTCAGAGTATTTGAGACCTTAAAAAATTTAGAAATGCTAAAATAAAAACCTGGAATGTTTGGGTTGGTTGCAGCTTTGCTGCATCAGAGTAAGTAGTTCTGCAACTTATTAGTTTGCCATTCAGGGCTCCTTTGGGTATAAGGGAGGGCATTTCTTTTCTTTTTTTGATAACGTTTTATTAAATTTCCAAAAAAAACCCCCGAAAGCATCATCAGCACATTTTTAAACCATAATTTTTGCTCGACTTCCTTCCCTTCCCCCTCTTGGTTCCATTGTTTAATACTAGTTCACACATGTCCTTAAAACCTTATACTCTTAATATTTCAATTTTTAAACCTTCTTCAATTTATTACAAGTGACTTTTAAAAGTTATACCAGTGTAAAAATCTACTGTATACACAAAGCTTAAAAAATATGCATTAAACATTTGTCTCTTTTTTAAAAATTCAGTCATATTTCTTTCTTGGGTTTCTTGATTTATCCTGCATAGTTCAATCATTTATTTTGCCAGTCTTCTTTATCTTCTTTGGCAGAGGCTTCTTCCTTCTGTAGGAGCTGGCTGGTCTTGGCCTGGCATCCACTCTTAAGTACAGGAACAAAGTATTTCCTTCAAGAAGTCCAACAAAACCTGTACACCTCAATATCATAACTTCATTTTTTAAAAAACAACAATCATTTTCTACATTCCTTTCCAATCTTTATATGAAAAGGCCTTTCCAATCTCTCAGGCCTTTAAAAAATTATTTTACATTGCCACAGTGGGACGCGGGTGGCGCTGTGGTCTAAACCACAGAGCCTAGGGCTTGCCGATCAGAAGGTCAGCAGTTCGAATCCCTGCGATGGGATGAGCTCCCGTTGCTCGGTCCCTGCTCCTGCCCACCTAGCAGTTTGAAAACACGTCAAGTGCAAGTAGATAAATAGGTACCACTCTGGTGGGAAGGTAAATGGCGTTTCCGTGCGCTGCTCTGGTTCGCCAG